TTATTATACTTTAAGTTCTAGGGTACATGTGCACAACGTGCAGGTTTGTTACATATGTATACATGTGCCATGTTGGTGTGCTGCACCCATTAACTTGTCATTTACATTGGGTATATCTCCTAATGCTATCCCTCCCCCCTACCCCACGACAGGCCCCGGTATCATTTTAATTTAATTTTTCATTTAATTTAATCATTTTAATTTACTTATCATTGAATAGTGATGAATCGACATGTTTCTCATTTTGTTTTGCCATTTATATTTCTTTACTTTTTTTTGTTTTGGTTTATATCTTATGTCCCTTTAAAACATTATTTTGAAATTATTTGGTGTAGGTGAACCTAGAGGTAGAATTAAGATATGACATAGAAAGGTTTTCAAGAAAAAGAAAAGTACCACAAAATTCATAAATCATGTTCTGGGATGATTTGAAGGAACATGAAGATTAAGTAGTCTGTTTATTTTAAATACTTAGGCGATGTATGACTGGACATACTGAAAATTGATGTATGTGTTCCCAACCTTGTCTATGGTTTTGCTTTGTGTGGTTTCCATTACTTATGGTCAACTGCAGTCTGAAAGTAATAAATGGAAAATTTCAGAAATAAGCAATTTATAAGCTTTAAATTGTGTACCATTTTGAGCAACATGAGGAAATCTCAAGTGGTTGGCTCCCACTTTGGTGGGACTTGAGTCATCCCTTTTTCTAGTGTGTGATGCTATATACGCCACCACTCAGTAGTCACTTAGTAGCTCTCTCAGTTATCAGATTGAAAAACAGTATGTGTAGGGTTTGGTGCCATCAGCAGTTTCAGGCATCCACTGGAGGGTCTTGGACTGTATCCCCCGAGGATAAGGGGGGACTATTGTGGCTCTTAAAAATAAGTGGGGATTCCTATACATACTTTCTTGCAAATTTTATATCTGTAAAATGCCTTATGAATCATTTTATGTTAGTACATATAGATCTACCTCAGTTTTGTCTGTTATGTATTTTTCTGTAGTATGTATTTCACATATTATTATTTAACTTATACAATATACAGTGATTGTATAAATATAATCTTAAATACTCTGGAAGTTATAATTTATATGTATTATGTTAATATTTATCTCATATACTTTTTACTTAGACATTAAAAGCCCTCCAAAAGTTCCATATGTTGATGTAAAGTAAGGACAAGGTCTGTGTCATAAGTGCCTTTTGTCACACTGTTCTCTGGCATAGGCCTTATACATTGTAAGTCTCCAATAATGTTATTTGAATGAGTGAATATTCCCAAACCAAATCACTGGACCATTTAACAATAACTTCCTGTCAGAATGGCTGTGAAAATTTACCTGGAAAGAATACATGTGGTAAAACTAGAGTAATATGATAATAAAAAATGTATTAGAATTTATTCTGTCACTACTTTTAAAGTTGCCATCTTGATATATCAAACTCTTGTTTTAGTATTGTGCCCATTATAGAAATATTTTTGCACCATCTCTTTTGTAGCTATATTAAGAGCCTATGTTTCAGTCTTTATCTCGTGATTGATTTTTAGATCCAGTCAGCCACATTATTTGGAATGAATTGTAATGATTAAGGGGTATGATCAAAGTGGGTAACACTTGTTTTGATTACAACAAAATGAAACTATAAACTAAAAAGACAGATTTTTCTTTGTGCCTAATAAATTGATTCTAAAGATAGATCCAAAAAAGCTCCCAAAAACGTTTTATTTCACATGGTTAATTTGCATAGTCTCTAGAAATTTGATGAAATTTTATAATTACTTTAAATTCTTTATGATAATGACTGGAACTTTTAAAAGTATAAAACAAAACCTGTTAAGGTAACTCTTTAAGCTTTTTAAAATTCATTTTTAATTTATAATTGACATAATGATTATATATATTTATGGGGTACAATGTAATGTTTCAAGGTAATTACCATATCTATCACTTTAAACATTTATCATTTCTTTGTGGTGAAAATATTCAAACTCTTTGCTATCTTGAAATACCACTGCATTGTTACTTACTGTAGTCACCCTAGTTTGTAATAAAACAGTAGAACTTACTTTTCCTTACTGTAACTTTGTACTTGTTGACCAATCTCTTCCTCTCCACCTCTCCCCACTATCTTCCCCAACCTCTGGTAACCATCATTGTACTCTCTATGAAGTCAACTTTTTTAGGTTCCACATATGATATGAGGAAGATCAAGTGATGTTTGTCTTTCTGTGCCTGGCTTACTTCACTTAACATGATGTCCTCTAGATTCATCCATGTTTTCACAGATGACAGGATTTCATTTTGTTTTATGGCAGAATAGTATTCAATTGTATGTGGACACACACACACACACACACACACACACACACGTATTTTCTTATCCATTCTTCTGTACATGGGCATTTAGGTTGATTTCATATCTTGGCTATTGTGAATAGCACTGCAGTAAACATGGAAGTGCAGATGTTTCTTCAACATACTGATATTATTCCCTTGCATATATACCCAATAATGGTATTGCTGGATCACATGATAGGTTTTAGTTTTTTGAGGAACCCCACACTGTTTTCCGTAATGGTTGTACTGATTTATATTCCCACCAACAGTGTATAAGGTTTCTTTTTTTCTCTACATTTTTGCCAGCATTTGTTGTTTTTTTGTCTTTCCGGTAATAGCCTTTCTAATTGAGGAGGGGTGATACTGTGGTTTTGATTTGCATTTCCCTGGTGATTAGTGATGTTGAGATTTTTTTCATATAACTATTGCCAATTGTGTGTCTTCTTTTGAGAAACGTTTATTTAGGTCTTTTGCCCATTTTTAAATCAGATTTTTCTGTTGTTATCGAGATGTTTGAGTTTCTTATATATTCTAGATAGTAGCTTCTTGCCAGATGCATAGTTTGCAAGTACTTCCCATTCTGTAGGTTGTTTCATATATTTAAAATCCTAGAGACTCCACCAAAAAATTGTAGAATTGTGTAAATATTAAATGAATTTAGTAAAGTTGCAGAAGACGTTATCGACATACAAAAATCAGTAGTGTTTTCATACACAAACAGCAGATTATCGGAAAAAGAAATGAAGAAAGCAATTCCATTTATAATAACTACAAAAAATAATAAAATACCTAGGAATAAACTTAGGGGGTGAAAGATCTCTACCATGAAAATTATAAGACAGTGATGAAAGACATTGAAAAGGACACAAATAAATGAGCAGATAATCCTGTGTCCATGAATTAGAAGAATTAATGTTGTTAAAATGTCCATAGTACCCAAAGCAATCTACAGATTCTATGCAATTACTATTAAAATATTAGTGACATTCTTCACAGAAATAGAAAAAAATCTTAAAATTCATATGGAAATGCAAAAGAACCTGGATAGTCAAAGCAAAAAGAAGAAAGCTGGAGGCATTATATAGTACCTGACTTCAAAATATACTACAAAACAGCATGGTTCTGGTGTCAAAACACATAGACCAATGGAACAGACTAGAGAACCAAGAAATAAATTCATGCATTTACAGCCAACTGATTTTCAACAAAGGCACCAAGAACACACGTTGGGTAAAAGACAGTGTCTTCAGTAAGTGGTGTTGGAAAAACTAGGTAGCTACACACAGAAGAATGAAACCAGACCCTTATCTCTCACCATATAGAAAAACAAACTCTAAATGGATTAAAGAGTAAATTATATGACCCCAAATTATATATAACTACCAGAAAAAAAAAAAAAAATAGAATTGTTTCATGAAATTGGACTGGGCAAGGATTTTTTGAATAAGACCTCAAAAGCACAGGCAACAAAGCAACCAAGCAAAAATAAGATAAATATTAAGATAACGTTCAGACATCAGTAATAAGATGATTAAGAACATGACATTTAAATCTGTGTAGAATCAATTAGGTGATTTCTCATTTGCAATAAACAGATCTTTGCTGCCACCTGGAGGATTTTTCCTTGTAAGTTTCTTTATTCAGTAGAGCATTAGCGATAAACTTCAAATTTAAAACCTCTCATCTCAAAGGTGCAAATAAAACAGAGATGGCACATGCATTGTATCATCTATACAAATAGTGTTTATGTTTATCTTTGTTCATTTTTATTTGAAATTTGTTTAATTGTGGAATATTACTATTCTCTGAATATTGCTAGTGAAATACTTTTATTAACTTTATGTATTTTCAGTTCTGAGATACAGAAACCAGGAATGTTGAGTTTCTGTTCAAGTAATTTGTGTTCCTAACTTGCCTGTGGTATTGATTCTACTCAGTCCCATAGGTCCCTGAGTGTGCCTTTTTCTGTCAGCTAGTTTAGATAGGTTGCATTCAGATAATATAATTTAAAAGGTTGTTTTTATTACTATATTTTGTAGAAAAAGTGGGGAAGACAAAAGTGGATATGTGACTAGCAATTTATGGAGAATTAATAAAGGAGTTCTTATCTTCTGTAACATAAACTAATAAATTTGACTTTTGATATGTACTTCATGTGAAAACATAAAAGGCTAGGAATTGTTTTAGTGACTGAAGAGAAATTGGTTGAAAACAGGTACATATTTCTCCCTTATTAAAGCAATCTAGCAAACTGCAAGGTGAACTATTTAAGTACCTGTAAGTGGCTGCAAATTTGTAATGCAGGGACCATGCATGGACTTATTTTTTCTTCTGCATAATGATCAACTCCATTTATTGTGTGCAAGTATCTGAAATAGAACAATATTAGCTAATTTTATCACCTACATGTCTGATGAAAGTATAATATTTGAGGCAGAAACAAGACTTTTGAAAATGTTGAGAATTTTTCATACCTTTGTTTTAAAAAGTTATGTCTGAGATATAATTTGTTTTAAAGCTATGCAACTGAATAAGATGCTTGACTTTTATTGCTTGTTTTGAATATTACAGCCAAAAATTAGAGATAAGAGCACAAGTCGCAGACGCCTTCTTATCCAAGTTCCAGCTGACTTCTGATGAAATGAGTCTTCTCCGAGGCACAAGAGAAGGACCCATTACTGAGGTATCCTGACTTTCTGTTCAATCATTTAAAGTTTAGTAGTTACGGATATTAGAGAGATATTGCGTGTTTGAAGCTTTATTTTCCCATTTTAAAAAGTTTCATCTGAGAATATTTTTATGTTTGGAAATTTAAGATGTGTATTTTAATTATATTTTTCAAAGTAATACATGTACTTTTTGAAAAGTCGGAGTCAATAAAGCTTATAGAAAGAAAATCTATGTCACCTATTTTACTCTTCCTCACCTCTAGGTCTTTTGCCAACCATTTTCAATGTTATTAGTTGCTTCTTTTGTAAATTCTATATTCCAGATCTATAGCTAAAAAGAATATGCTTTGATTATCTATGTTAACTATTTTCTGTTGATTCTCTATTGTGAAATGTGAGGATTTAGCCTTCTACCCACTCTGTCTCCTCCCCCAACACAGATAGTACACACATATGTTCTCTTTATCTCCTTCATACATCATAGTACAGTTAGACCACATTTTCTATTTTCTTTTTCTTTTTCTTTGAGACAGGGTCTCGCTCTGTCACCCAGCCTAGAGTGCAGTAGCACGAACACAGCTCATTGCAGCCTCAACCTCCCAGGCTCAAGTGATCCTCCCACCTCAGCCTCCCAGGTAGCTAGGATGACAGGCATGCACCACCACTCCTGGCTGATGTTTTTAATTTTAATTTTTAGTAGAGATCGGGCCCACTGTGTTGCCCAGCCTGGTCTTAAACTCCTTAACTCAAGCGATCTGCCTACCTTGGCCTTCCAAAGTTCTGGGACTACAGGTCTGAGCCGTAGTACCTACCACACATTTTTTATTTTCATTACAGTGACATTACAGTAATTGAATGTTCTTTCTTTTATAACTTTGTGGCTTTCCTTGGGTTAGAAATCGCTTATTTTTTCATCTAATTAATTTTTTAAGCTATTTCATTCTTTCCAAACTGGCTGACAGTATTATAAAACCTCTCGAAATGTTAAATAACAAGAAAAAGTTTCATTTCTTTTTTTTTCTTAAAGACATTAATAATTTTTCCAAAAAGGAATCTTTTGGTCTTCTAGCTGGGAAGAACTGTAAACTTAAGCCTGTCATCATCATTGTGGGCTCAGAGGGCAAGAAGGGTTCTTGAGGTGGGGAAGGGTTCTCACTGAGTGTCTCTGAGTAGGTATCACTTTTACTGGCTTGGCTAAAATGGAACTGGTCATTTGGGTGTAGAGAGGTAAATAGGTGAGATAATTAATAGAGATATTATGTATTAGTATGTACTGTCCTCATGTTTTGAGGAACTTTGTGCTTTTGAAATATTTGATATATCATTTTTTTCTCCCCTTGGTAGAAATTAGAAAAGGAAGATTATTATTATTATTATTTTAAGCTTTATTCATCAAAGAAAAATAACATATCCATTATTTTTCATCAGTGGAACACTATTTGTGGCACTCTGAAACCTAAGCCTCCAGTACATTTAAATATCAGTCAACAGTTTGGCATCTGTCACCTCCTATATATTTAACTTTGCATTCTACTCTTGGACGAGGGAGCAAGAATGAGTATACAACAGAGATATAAAACATCATCTTCAGCAATAAGAATGCCAGGCTTAAGTAATAAGATGTGTAATACACAGTATGTTTTTTTTAATTTACTAATTTTTAGTTTTGCATTTCTCACTAGACTATGTACACTTCTTGAGGACAGGGATTTTTGTCTTTATAAATTTTATATTCCTGGCAACTGTCAACACTATTTGGCACGTAGTGGGAACTGGATTAATTTGTTAATATGTCTTAAGATGTGAATAAATACCAGTTACATCATCTATGAAAACTTAGAGAAAGTTGAGATCAGTATAGGAAGTCTTCGTTAAAATAGGTGAAAGAGTTTGTTTGCCCTTGGCAGTGACCTTTCAGTTTTAAATAATGTAATTTTGCCTGAAGCATGGACATAAAGTCACATTCTTAATTTTAAAGGAGTTTTTCAAGGCACTTGGAAGAGTAAAACAGATTCATAATGATGTCAAAGTTCTCTTGCGTACAAATCAACAAACGGCAGGGTGAGTAACTGCTCGTTGAACTAATTGCATTGCTGCTTATGTTTCCAAAATTTTAAAGATATTCTAGATTGTTTGTGAAACTATATAGCATTTTGTGAAATAGAAGTTTAATCTTTATTTATCTTTAGAGAATAGTGAAGTTATACCCTGACAGGTTTAGGCTAAAACAGCAGTTGTTAAGTAAGTGATGGTTAAAATGTGACATTTACTTAATTGTAGAAAATTATTGAAAAACCATTCCATAAAATGATAAAAAGTTAATATGCTGTAACATGTAATATGCAAACAAAATAATTAGGTGCTTAGATGTAGCTGTTGACTCAGATTTAAATTATAATAAATCTTTAATTTTTTTTAGTTTAGAAATTATGGAACAGATGGCATTACTTCAAGAAACGGCTTATGAAAGACTTTACCGATGGGCTCAAAGTAAGTGATTTATTTTATGTTGTCTACATTCATGAACATTTGTAGTTGTTTTTTAAAATTTTACTTGGTCTTTGATATATTTTGATTTTAGTAGTCAAAAAATTTTTTTAAATAAAAATAGTAATTGTATTTGATTTTTAAATTTTTACTTGGTCTTTGATGCATTTTGATCTAGTAATCAAAAATATTTTAAATATTTTAAAATATTTAAAAAACAGAAAAACAAACTTCACGTTTGAACACACTGTTTTTGTGTTTGTATCATGAGCACCTGCCATCGGCCAAGCAGTATGCTTGATTAAGTATGAGAATAAAAACATGAAGACAGTTTCTGCCCTAGATTATCTTAAAGCAGATTAAGTGTCTCTTGTTGTTTACATAACTGTAAAGTTGTAAGTGGTAAATTGATTTTCTGCTGTTGCTGTAGCAAATTATTACAAACTTAATGGCTTAAAACAACACATATTTATTGCCTTACTCCTCTGTAGGTCAGAAATCAGACGTGGTTCTCACTATGCTAATATCTGAATGTTGGTAGACCTGCATTTGTTTCTGTATGCTCTAAGGGATAATCTGTTTCCTTGCTCATTCAGTTAGTTGGCAGAATTCAGTTCCTTGTGTTTGTAGGACTGAGGTCTGTGTTTCCTTGCTGGCTGTCACTGAGGGTTTTTCCCAGTTTCTAGAGGCTGCCCGCATTCTTTGGCTTGCAGCCCCTTCCTCCATCTTCAAGCCAGCCAGCAATGTCAGGTCAAGTCATTTTCTCATGTTGATTCTCTCCTGCCTCATCTTCCATCTCATATCTCTAACTTTTCTGCCAGCTACTTAGGTTGTGAGGCCTGTGTGATTACCTTGGACCCACTTGGGTAATCTGAGAAAATCTCTCCATTTTAAGGTCTACTACCTTAATTTCATTTACAAAGTCCCTTTTGCCACGTAAGGTAACATATTCAAAGATTCCAGGGATTAGGATGTCGACATCTTTGGAGGGCCATTATTTTGCCTACCAGGAATACTTTATTTGCTTTAGTTTTGTTTGAAAATGTTTCAATAGACATTTTGCAAATAGCCTATTAAAACCAGAGAAGATATTTAAAACAAGCAAGCATGGAACAGGAGCACATATTTTAATAGGTGTTACCAATCAGCTGTTGGAAGGGGTTGGAATTAAATTTAGTTAACCAGCTACTCCTCTACTATGCTCTGCAAATGGAATACTCTGGTCTGGTTGGTTAAGTCTTTATCTCTAAAACCTGTTTGTTTTTCTACCTATCTCCTTTACATTGTTTGCTTCCATCTGGAGTGTTGTCTGCCTTTCTCTCGTTGCATCTCATTGTATTTTTTTCATATATGTCTTATCTCACTAGTTTTCTACTTTCTCAAAGGCACGGACATTGACTCAAATTTCTTTGTGCTTCCACAACATCTTACATAGTGGCTCCCAACTGTGGGCCTCTATCTTGTAGAGACTATGAAGACATTTTAGGATGTCTTCAATTCTCTGTGCATATTTTGTTTTCAGTCAGTGCATGCTAGAAAGTATACTGCCAGTGTGAAGTCCTTGTGTACCAAAGGTTGGGAATTTCTGAGAAGTTCTAAATTTGAATGTACTAGGCACTTGTGAGCATGTTATAGATAAAATTAGAACAATAAAGAAAAGTTGGTGTAGAGATTTTTAAGAGTTTAAAATTCAAACTCTTTTGAAATTATAATTGTATCACTATATATTGGTTAACCACATTAACAATTTTAGCGAACTGCTTAAAGATTGCTTCTCAGGGAAGGAACTGATAATATATTTTTAGTGCTCCTCCCTGCCTCCCTAATACTGTCATGTATATGGCAGTTATTAGGAAATACTTGTCCATTGGTTGGTTTTTTCAGAACTCTAGTTTTTTATAATAATAAAATACAGCTTTGGGGTATACCTGATAGCATATGTGGTCATTTAAAGTTATATAACTACTTAAGCTTAACTTTTTAGTTTGGTTGACAGTATAAATTAGTTTTTGATTGGTATATCTAGGTTTTTCTGAGGAATTTTTTTATAGAGTGTTTGCCATAGAATTTAGACTCCTGGAATGCAACAGACATAATAAACATCTAAGCTGAATTTAACAAAAGTTATAATGTTAATTATATTTCAGGTGAATGCAGAACATTGACACAAGAATCATGTGACGTATCTCCAGTATTGACACAGGCAATGGAAGCCCTGCAGGACAGACCTGTCTTATATAAGTTGGTGACTTTTTCTTAATTAAAAAAGAACGCCTACTTTTCTTTTGATAATTTACTTTAAATATCAGTATTAATCAAAAGCATATATAATAGTTTGAGTAATATTTGTAATAATTTACAACAATACTATTCACCTTAACTTGAATTTGTTTCATGGGATATCAGCTTATTTGAATTTTACATACTATAGAATACAATATGGAAAGAGAAACCAAAGTGTCTCTGTATCTAGACTACCTCTTATTTATATAGAGGTTCAGTGACTTTTCCCCTGTCATCTCATTAACTCCCTTAGAATTGTAAGTAACTAAAGCTCCTATATGAATCCTTCCCTACAGAGACTGAAGTCATACCAGGACTGAGAAATATGGTTATGCAGAGATGAAAAAAAGAATATTTAATATCAAGGTTCTATTAATAGGATTTAGGAAGAGAGGGCCCAGGTCTTTGATCTCATAATTGACGCCAAACAAGAGCTATGTGGTAATGCTTTGGATAAGAATTTAATGCATTTTATATTTGTTGATATGTTTTTTATTATTTTATATTTTAATTTTATTCGCTTAATTTTTATAAAATAAAAAGTAAATTATTTAATGCCTAGAGTAGTATGAGCATAAGCTTTAGGTAGATGTAGGGGTTGATGATATTACTAATTCTGAAAATAGGAAACCAGGGGACTCTTACCAAGGTAGTACATCCTGCTGTGACTCATCCCTTTCAGTTTCTGCTTATACTATTTTTAGAGGACCTTCCCATTACTTTCTGATTGGAACACTACTTATACTATCATAAGGTCACAGAACACAAATGCTGAACAACTGTGTAAAATAATAACACCCCAGAGCTACTTACTGAGTACTCTGTGTTAAGCACCATTTTACATTCTAGAAACACAGCTTCAGTAAAGCACTGCCCTCAGACTGCTTTATTTTATGGAACTGGAGATAAACAAATGCATTTTAATTGAATATACTAATTGCTAGTCTACAAGTCATGTCCCAGATGCTGTGTGACTCAAGTATTCTGAGGTAGGGGAAAGAGTGAACGTCAGTGAAAGTTTCCTATGGAATTAGGTATAAAGTGAGTTCTGAAGGCTGAATAGGCATTTTCCTAGAAGTAAAGGAAGAACAGTTTCCAGGTTGAGGGAACAGTAATGCAAAGATATACACTGAGAGAACATGCACCTTTGGGAAATTAATTGCAAAAGCTTGCCCTGGCTATTGAATTAGGAGCAACAGCTGGATTTGTAATAGCCCTGAATGTTGTGCATATAATATGATAAGTTAATGTTTACCATTGATCAGCAGCTTAGCAGTTCTTTGAAATTTCTTTCTCAACTTTTTCACTTTAACGTATTGGCATTGATTATGAGTCTTTTAGCACTTAAAACATTTGGTGTTTGATTTTAACAACTGTTGCATTGTCTGCAGATTAATATTTATTCACAAGGTTAACCTTTAAAAAAAAAAAAGCCTTTGTGTGTTTTGGGCACCTGAAAACAACAGCTGACTTCTGCCATGCAAATAAATTTTTACTGAATTATAGTTCTTTATCAAAACTTGGAAAGGAGCAATATTAAATGGCTTATAAGGTGGGCTCCTGAGTCAGATTTCTTTGAGAAGTCCTTACACCGTTATAAACTTCAGTTTCCTTCGCTGTAAAATGAAGATAATAATAGTGCCTATTTTACAGATTTGATGTGAAGATTAAGTTACATTGTTCACTTGAGGCACGTAGTGTGATGTTTGGTACATCACTAAATTTTAGATATTATTTTTATTTTGAGAGGAGGTGACTAGAAAGCTGTCAACTAAGGAGGGGTGTATTTGAGGGCTACATGGCAATCAGAGAAAAAGCTTGAAAGATAAAGAATGGAACTATAATGGAGAGGCAAAGAAGGTTTATCTGTGAAGGGCATATGCTAAGAAGCAGGGGGCAGTAATGGCAATTCGGAAGATTTTAAGAGACATTTAGAAGTTGAGTGGGGGAGTAAGTTTTTAAGACCAGATGATTAGAACAAGATAAATGCTAAAAAAGAGGAAATTGGCCTTTCATTAAGTAATTATTTTCAAAGTGGTAGTTTCCTTACATTTAGGGAAAACTTAATAATGTGTCATGCTAACCACCAGATGGCACTATATGAACTTAATAAGTAATGTCTAAAAGCTTCACTGTCCATTATTACGTCTCAAATAACGTAAGTATTATAGGCAAGAAAAATGTCAATTATTGAAATCCCTGGGGAAAGTTGCCATTACTCAGTGTTTCTTATGTAGTATATAACTGGAATGCTAATGCATTATTGACTTTTAATAATAAATCATGTATAATTATAAATGGAAGTGAGAAATTTTGATAATTTCTTTCCTTTCGTAAGCCTTTAGAAATATGTTATTTTAAAATGTAGTAATATGTACAATGCTGATTTTTCTTCCTTCTTTATGTATTTGTTGTGTTTCAAAGAGGCACTTCTATACTATTATCTTTTAATTTGCTTTTTGATAAAAAATTTTCTCCTTTTAATTTGTTTTTTGACCAGAATTTATTTGACAGTAGCCAAAACACGATTTTTATAATGAGACTTAATTTTAACTAGGGGTATTTGAGAATATGTACATAATTTGAGCATTCACCCTGAAAAAGCTCCATTTTGAATTTTGATTATTGTTGGAAGAATGTCTGATTTTGGTGAAAGAATTTTTCTTCTGTCTCTGGGCCTTCCCAGGATGTTTCATGTCTAAAGATATTGAAGGTTCATATGGCTTATGCTGTTTTTGCTTTAAATTATATTTGTTCTATAGGAGGATTGACATTAATATTAATGTTTATTGATATTTTATAGTATTAAACAGATGAAATTCCAGTGTTTGCCAGGCTTGGTAATTTACCCCCTATTTAAGATACCAGTAGATTCACTGGATTCTGTTACAACTGTGGTCCCAGTGGACAGTCCTAGAAACAAATTTTGCTGTTTATTTTTACTGTGGTTAATAGGGTCTTGGGAATGAGGATTAACTTTATATACTTAAAAAGTTAAACATTTGTGAATTTTGTGCTGTGATAAGCAGTCATATTTCAGAGAATCAGGTGATCATTTAAAAGAAGGCATTCTTCACACTAAATGGATTTATAATTTAAGAGCATGAGGGAAAAAAGAGCAATGAGCATTTTGGTTCTAATTTGTTTAAAAAATTGAAAGTAAATGCAAGGCAATTATGCAATTTAGCAAAACTTAGCTGGATATTACACTTTCCCTTTTCTGTACTAGTATGTCACCACAGGGAATCTCAAAACCATTTCTTTTTAATGGAAAACAAACACACAAAGAACCATAGTCTAGTTAATAGTAAACAGTCCTCAAAAAAAGTTCATATTCCTAAATATTTATAGCTATTTGCCAGTTCTACAGGCTTCCTCTTTTATTTGGAAGTAAACCATCTTTCACATGTTTACCGAAATGTGGATTTTTCATCCAATTAACAGCATATGAAAGAAAGCTATGTAGCCTAAGATATTAATTATTTTGGGTATCTTGGGAAGTTTTGGTAATAGGTTATTGACATAATTCTTAAAATTTGGTAGGGTAGAATACTGTTTAGAGGTTTACAAGTTAGTCTAGAATCTGCTGACATCAGACTGCTAAAATATATTGTGTTTTTCTTTATACTTTTAAAATGGAAAGAACTTTCAATTGAGGGATGGATGTCAGGAATGGTGGTGATGATGGGAAACAAGACTGAGTCAAGTCAAAGAAATGGGTACTACAGAGAGCTCCAGGCCCTTTTTATAAATTGACTCCCAAATCGTCCTGTTCCCCAGTTAAAAGCTTTCCTTCCCTACCAGTTCCTTCACCTTAGAAAGCCTTTCCATGCCTTTTCAATTATAATAGGTGACTTCTTAATACATGTTTTTTAAAAAGGTATTTGCTTGTATATGTGATTGGTCAGTAAATTTAAGGAACATCTATTATGTCTAATATTGGAGTCAAAATAAGCTTTTAAAAATGGATAGCAATTTTTAGAGCAAATTTTGGTGATAAATTGTGATAGTATGTATAAAGAAGACTTTTTAATGTAGAAGAGAAAATCTCAATTTTTGGACTGCGAATTCTTTTATTTTTTTCTGAGACAGGGTCTTGCTCTGTGGCTTAGGCTGGAGTATAGTGGAGCAGTCACTGCTAACTGTAGCCTGAACCTCACAGGCTCAAGGGATCCACCTAGCTCAGCCTCCCGAGTAGCTGGGACTATAGACATGCACCACCATGCCTGGCTATTTTTTTTTTTTTTAATAATGAGAAAGGGTCTCATTATTTTGACCAGGCTGATCTCTAACTCCTGGGCTCAAGTGCCCACCTTCCTCGGCCTCCCAAAGTGGTGGAATTGCAGGTGTGAACCACCACACCCAGCCTTGGATTGCAGAGTTCTAATTATAGTCAGCTTTTGAGAACTGTTATGGCTTTATGTAAAACAGTAGAGCATCGTCTTAGACTATAAATATATATACTGAAATATACTGAAACCTAATATACTGAATATACTGAAACCTAAAAAGTTAAGTCTTCCCACCTTGGCTTGATTTTCCTACTTTTACTAAGTCCATTGCTTTATCCCTTATTACTGCTGCCTCTGCTTTAGTCCCATATCCCAGCATTGTTTCTTAGGAGGGGTAAAAGTTTTTACTTTTTGACTGAATTTTCAATGCGCCAAAGTTATCTCTTAAATATTTTTTTCTTGTTTGAAAGCAGTGTTGCTTGACCGAATGCCTAAAAGAGCTTTAAGTACTTGCTTGTCTCAGAAATTGCATGAAAATCTGATATAGCCACTAGAGACAAAGAGCCCCAACCATTTTTTATACAACTTGTTTCTTCTAGATATACCTTAGATGAATTTGGAACAGCCAGAAGAAGTACAGTTGTTCGTGGATTTATTGATGCGCTCACAAGAGGGGGCCCCGGAGGTACACCTAGACCAATTGAAATGCACTCTCATGACCCATTGAGGTATAGTAATCAGACAGCAGAAGAGGAGTGGATGTTTTTCCAAAGGAAATCTTCATTAACATTTAGTTTTCATTAGGTATGTGGGAGATATGTTGGCTTGGCTCCATCAAGCTACTGCTTCTGAAAAGGAACACCTTGAAGCTCTCTTAAAGCATGTAACTACACAAGGTGGGTCCACCGATTATATTGCTAATGCCTACATCCTGAAAATAACCCAAGCATCTCTGTTTCTACTCTTGTTGCCATCTTCTTCACTTAGATAAACACCTTGATGGTACAATAAGTGTCCTGATTAGTCTTTCTCTTCTCTGGTTTCTCCCTCATTCTGCTAATAGACTTTCTCTTCCATCACCTTTGTCCTGTCACTCAACTGTTCAGTTTTATAGTGAACCCTAATGACCTTTCATATCAAACCTAGACTCCTCTGTGGCACTTTTAAGAAATTTCTGGAATATATAGCATACATTATCTCAAATCCTCTGCATGACGCTTTAAAGGTACAAGGGGGTATTATCTTAGTTTTATCTGTGTGTAAACAGGCTGAGTGACTTGTTTAAGGTCTTGAAGCTACTAATTCTTTCATTTCTGCTACCCAGCCTCTTTTTTCATTCTCATGACACTGTTTTAAAATTTTAAAACCAATTATCATATTTGTTAGTATGTTTCTGCATTGCTACAAAGGAATACCTGAAGCTTGGTAATCTATAAAGAGGTTTAACTTGACTCACGGTTCTACAGGCAGTAGAGGAAGCATGATGCCCACATCTGCTTCTGGTGAAGGCCTCAGGAAGCATAGAGTCATCGTGGAAGGTGAAAGGAGAAGAACCAGCATGTCACATGGTGATTGAGGGAGCAAGACAGAGAGATGGGAGGTGCCACACACTTTTAAGCAACACTGACTATTGTGAGGATAGCACCAAGCCATTCATAAGAGATCCACTCCCATAACCCAAACATCTCCCACCAGGCTCCACCTCCAACATTGGGGATTACATTTCAACATGAATTTAGAGGGGACAAACACTCAACTACATCACCCTATATACAATGTACTTAAAATTTTTGTCTTGATGTCAAGGTAGAAAAATAACTGTAGTTGAGAGTTGCTGATGTCTTGTTTACAGAATTCCCAATCTTCTTAGTTGTGATTACCTAAGGAGGCCTGTTTTAGAGTTTGAGGGTTTAGTGTATGTATGATTTTAAAATGTTCTATTTTTGATAGGAAGTTAAGAGAGACACTGTGGCTTGGTATCACTTGACTGTTTTACATAGCTCAGCCACACGCCTCTGTGGTTCACATTATCTGCAAGATGAGTCAGTGTTATGGTGGTAATACTAACCTCATAGATTCTAACTCTTCAGTATCAAGATTAGACCCAGCATATGTTAGATTGGCACAAAGTGTGCATTGTTAGATTCTCTTTCTGTCATCTCTGTTTCTACTCTTGTTGCCATCTTCTTCACTTAGATAAACACCTTGATGGTACAATAAGTGTCCTGATTAGTCTTTCTCTTCTCTGGTTTCTCCCTCATTCTGCTAATAGACTTTCTCTTCCATCACCTTTGTCCTGTCACTCAACTGTTCAGTTTTATAGTGAACCCTAATGACCTTTCATATCAAACCTAGACTCCTCTGTGGCACTTTTAAGAAATTTCTGGAATATATAGCATACATTATCTCAAATCCTCTGCATGACGCTTTAAAGGTACAAGGGGGTATTATCTTAGTTTTATCTGTGTGTAAACAGGCTGAGTGACTTGTTTAAGGTCTTGAAGCTACTAATTCTTTCATTTCTGCTACCCAGCCTCTTTTTTCATTCTCATGACACTGTTTTAAAATTTTAAAACCAATTATCATATTTGTTAGTATGTTTCTGCATTGCTACAAAGGAATACCTGAAGCTTGGTAATCTATAAAGAGGTTTAACTTGACTCACGGTTCTACAGGCAGTAGAGGAAGCATGATGCCCACATCTGCTTCTGGTGAAGGCCTCAGGAAGCATAGAGTCATCGTGGAAGGTGAAAGGAGAAGAACCAGCATGTCACATGGTGATTGAGGGAGCAAGACAGAGAGATGGGAGGTGCCACACACTTTTAAGCAACACTGACTATTGTGAGGATAGCACCAAGCCATTCATACGAGATCCACTCCCATAACCCAAACATCTCCCACCAGGCTCCACCTCCAACATTGGGGATTACATTTCAACATGAATTTAGAGGGGACAAACACTCAACTACATCACCATATATACAATGTACTTAAAATTTTTGTCTTGATGTCAAGGAAGAAAAATAACTGTAGTTGAGAGTTGCTGATGTCTTGTTTACAGAATTCCCAATCTTCTTAGTTGTGATTACCTAAGGAGGCCTGTTTTAGAGTTTGAGAGTTTAGTGTATGTATGATTTTAAAATGTTCTATTTTTGATAGGAAGTTAAGAGAGACACTGTGGCTTGGTATCACTTGACTGTTTTACATAGCTCAGCCACACGCCTCTGTGGTTCACATTATCTGCAAGATGAGTCAGTGTTATGGTGGTAATACTAACCTCATAGATTCTAACTCTTCAGTATCAAGATTAGACTCAGCATATGTTAGATTGGCACAAAGTGTACACTGTTAGATTCTCTTTCTGTTATTATTCTCATTACCCCGTTTAAATAAATGTGTTTCCTTAAAGATGTTTTAGAAAAGTATATATAAGGCAGTGTTAAGGAAGAAAATAGATTGTAGTTAGATGAAGTAGGTTATTCTATAGGAATGACTTCAATCTTCTGGGCCTCAGTTTTTCCATCTGTAAAAATGAAGGTGGTTACAAGCAGTAAATGTCAAATACCCAGTACAGAGCTTGATAAATAGTTGGTGTTTGGAAAATACTAGTTTTTCTGTAAGATTTCAAGGTGTATTTTTCAACTTTATACGCTCAGTGTATGTGCTAAGCAGTACTGCCTGGAACAAGATGTTTGTAAAATAAATGCTAATACATCTTGGCATCACTTCATTCAATGAATACATTTCAGACTTTTTTTTCCTCTGTCTTATAAATTTAATCTTTTTCACAAAGAAATATTCATTTTATTAACTCAAAATCAAATGAATTAAGACTTTCTAGACGCATATTAGGTATTATCACAATTAGTAATATGTTAACACAATTAGTAATGTCCCAAGAGATATCAAACTTACTAAAATATTGTTATGGTTAATTTTTTTTTTTTTTTTTGACAGAGTCTCACTCTGTCGCCCAGGCTGGAGTACAGTGGCGCGAGCTTGGCTCACTGTGAGCTCTGCCTCCCAGGTTCACACCATTCTCCTGCCTCAGCCTCCTGAGTAGCTGGGACTACAGGCGCCCACCACCACGCCTGGCTACTTTTTTGTATTTGTAGTAGAGACGGGGTTTCACAGTGTTAGCCAGCATGGTCTCGATCTCCTGATCTTGTGATCCACCCAACTTGGCCTCCCAAAGTGCTGGTATTACACGCGTGAGCCACCACGCCCGGCCCTGTTATGGTTATTTTAAAAGTTATTAGTGCCATTAATTATATGTATTATATATTATTTGTTTTTTGAACTTATATGAAGCAAGGTATAATATGGAAACAAATATTAATTATGTAGTAATTAATTTTAGGTATTGAAGAAAATATTCAAGAAGTTGTTGGGCATATCACTGAAGGTGTGTGCAGGCCTCTAAAGGTAAAATATTTTGTTTTTACATATGCTATATGGTACCTGGTTAAATTATTACCTTATTTGTAGGAACTTAAGAAACTGATACCAACTCAAATACAATCTATAATTTTTTCAAATTAGCACACTAATGTAGACTAATAAGAAACATTTTAAAATAATAATTGCCAGTTTTCTCTCTGAGAAAGAAAATTGGTAATATTTGTAGTTTGCATATATTGACCTATCTTTTACAGATTATATTTCCTGTAGTAATTTTTCTTATTTGATTGAGAAAAAAATCTATTAAATTTAAATAGCAAATCTATGAACTCTTAACAGAGAGATTTACTAAGAATATTTTGTTTACTTGATTGCTTCAAACATAGAAGAGTTTTTGCTTATAGCAATAAATAATGATTAATCCAAGGATAAAATAATATGTATCAGTATTAGCAATACTATTTATAGTACAAGGAACAGAATTTGGAATCAAATTTGAGTCAGAATTCCCATATTGCCACTTAATTGTGTTTACTTATTCTATCTGCTTAACTCTTCTGCGCCTGAATTATCCTCCCGTGGAACCTGTATGTTAAAACATCTATCATCCAGGGTTGTTGTGAGGATGACTGTGTAGATGAAGTACATAGTTTATGACACTAAGTATTTAGCAGATGGTAAATACCTTTGTTTTCCTTTATTAATATTTAGAGAATACTTGGCAATTGTTGGTTTACTTTTCCTTATAAACCAACTTCCTTGATTGACTTCAATTTCGTACATGGAAATTGAAATCCAGAAGTTTAATTAATTTTTTCAAGAAATGAACTTTAAAATTAATTTATTTTATTTCTAAGGTTTTGTTTTTTTTTTTTTTGGCATATGTTCCAGGCAAGGAAATCTCAGATGACACACTTTGTGACAATTGATTATATTGACAAATTTAACTGTTACTCTAACTTGATCTCATAGGATGTAACTGTATATTCAGAAAATAAATGGCAAAGTATCTTGAAATTATTTTACTTATTTCTCCCAAATGAAATATTTACTTGTCATAGTTTGATGTAGACACATATAACTCTTATAAATATTGTTTATTTTGTATACTGGCAGTTACTGGAAACATAGAAGAAGAGGAGGAATAAAATGAGATTTATTTTGCTATGCTTTTATACCTTTTTATAACTTCATATAGTCATAAAGTGACTAGGTAAAAGATAAATTTTACTTTATCTGCCTTACCTTCCCCCCTTCCTTGCTTATGTAATTATGTTTCTTTTTACAGCTGTTCTTTCTTTTTAAAAAAAAATTTAATTTATAATTTTTGTGGCTACATAGTAGGTGTATGCTTTTCCTTTTCTTTTTAAAAAGTAATTGTGTAAATATTATAATTTTAGAATCTAAGGGTTATAATGGACTCTTCAGTTTCCTGTCCTGGTTTGAGTAAGAATTATTATATCAAAAATGTTTAAACTAATACCCACCAGTTAGATAAAGACGTTATATACTGAAGTCTGCCTTTGTTTTAAAATGTACTTAGAAATTCTCATTTCATCTTCCTGTACATGCTCAGAAAGATCTTTATGACAATTGTAGGACCTTACTGTGATCTGCTGGCAAATTTAAATATAAGATGCCAAAGGGAAAGAAGACACTAGTAAGCAGACAAGTATCTTTTTGTCGTAAAATGAAGAAAAATTCCTTTTCTGAAATGACAGAAACTTGAAATCTTTCCATATGATGATAATATGTATTGCATACTCCAGAGAATATTTAGCAGGTGTTCACAATAGTTACATATCAAATTAGCTTGATAGTGATATATAATCTAGCAATTTCATACACACCTTCCTTTTATACTGATAGACAGTGTTACATTATTTTAGGAATTTTTTTTCTGTATGACTTTATTTGGTGGTTATATTTTCAGTGATATAGTTGTTAGATGAGGAAAAAAATTTTGACTTTTAATATTTCCTTTTGCAATTATAATTCTGAATTTTTCTAGTGATCAATCTGCTTTTATAATCTCACTCATACAAAATTTCTTCTTCCTAATTGATAAGCAACTAAACTTTTTCTAATGACATATGATATTGGATGTTATGGCTACTTTTCTGTCCATTATTCTTCTTTGTAGAAATGGGTTTTTTTTAGAGTAAGAGATTTTGATTTTTAGAAGCATAAAGAAAAGGTTATAGTGGTAATGGGAGATAATCCTTGAGAAACTATATATTTGATTTATTCTACCTTGTTTAATCTTTTCTTTGTCTTAGTAAAGTGAAACATCATAGGTGGTAGATTAAATATTTGTAAATGTATGCATTAAGATAAGATCTGTAAATCTATTGCCAGTTCAAAGAATTGGTGCTCTAAGTTTAAGATTACATATGTTGTGTAGAGGATACTATCCATGGCTCATCAGCATCAACCCTATTACTTTGTACATGTCTTTACTCCAAAATTGTAGCTAGAAAGATCAGAACTAATATATTAAAAATTTTTTTCAAGCCCATGGGTATAAAATCCTTCTTTTATGTGAATGTTTTAGATTGCTGATAGATTACCAGCTATCATTTGAATTTTCTCTTTTAATAAAAACTTTAGGGTAGTGTATGCTACAGACCTTAGATTATGGCGGGTTCTGTGAAGGCAGGCATAATGTAAAAGATCAATGGCATGAAAAATAAAGCTGAATATTGTACACAACATAGTCATTGGGCCCTCAGATTGAGGTATACATAGGAACAGATGTCTACCCTGAGCAGCTGTCTGTGATACTAAGGTAAAGGAAGTTCATCATCATCTTTTTTAGTCCTCCCTTCTTCCTATGTCCCCTTCATGAACACAAACCCACTCTCTTTCTCTTGCTCTCACTTTTTCTTTCTGGCCTTGGAGAGGAGAGCCACTGTTCTTTTAGCTCTTCCCTACCTTCTCTGCTGTCAGGGTGCCTGAAGCCCATTTTGCTACTTTTAATATCTGCCTTTATGGTTGATGCTGCTTCTCACAATGCAGTTAGGATTTATTGAGTGCTTATGATGTGCCAGGATCTGTTCCAACACACTTTATGTCTGAGCCATTATTCCCATTGCTGCTTTCCAGCTCTGCTAATGATTTTTCCCTCGACTGTCATCACAGTGATAATTTCCAGCCCAGTTGCTGCTACCACCACTTCTTTGGTCTCTTTGACCTTTTTTACTTTTTGTTTCTCTTGTCTTTTGTTGTTTCTCCTGTGACTGTTGGGTTTTGCTGAAAATGGTTAGCCTCTTATATAGCCCTCATAAGACAGAGTGTTTCTTTCTGTGTGGCAAACAAAGCATTCTTGGTGTATTATTTGTCAGTCTTCTGATTTTCCAGCCTTTCTCTGTTGTGTTTTGTATTGTAGCTGTTGTATTGTTTATTGCCACTTTCCCTCAAAACCTTTGTATTCGAGACAGATAGAAATTGTTTTTTTTTCCTTCCTCCCTCCCTTCCCTCTTTTATTTTTCTTTCTTTTCTTTCTTTCTTTCTTTCTCTCTCTCTCTCTCTCTCTCTCTCTCCCTCTCTCTCTCTCTCTCTCTCTCTCTCTCCCCTCTTTTCTCTCTTTCTTAAGGGAGTTAGAACTAAGAATATTTTCTTGATGCCTCAAAATTCTGGAAGGCAGGTGGCCATATAGCTGAGATGGTGTTTAAAATCTGCTAGTAAAGAGCTGTTTGCCTACAATTAACATTTTTTATATTTTTCTGTAATAATTATATTAAAATTAAGAAAATATCACTTTTATTGATATAACATATAATTTAAGTCACTGTTAAGGTCTTGGTTTAAAAATAAATTATAATATGGAAAAATATATTTTTTAAATTCAAATGCCATTCATGATCCATGGTATGTGGTAGTTAGATAGTCTATCACCTATACCAACAGATGAACCAATTTCATAAACATATTAATGTAAATGTAAATTGATTGCTATAATCTAAGAGGCTTTTGTATGCAGATATAAAATCTCATTTTAGCAAATCATAATTGTTTTATGACATATGCCAAAATCTAAATACAGAGAAAGTTCAACTTTTAAAAGCATTTATTAAACATCTGTTGTGTGTATACTGTTCTACCAGATGCTACAGAGATGTAAAATAGGCAGAAGAAGACATAATGTCTATACTGTATTTGTATTTGGAAACTAGTTAGGAAAGCAAGAAGATATAATGTAAGCAATAGCTTAAGGGCAGATACAATATTTAAGTAAGCATTTATCAGTGTAGTTTAGATTGTATTCATTAATAAAAGAAAGATCAGTGAAGGATGAAATTTAATTAGAAAAGATTCATATTTGCTAAATCTTGAGGCAGATCAAGTTAATCTTGAACTAGATCTGATTTTGCTCTGGTAATCTTATAATTTGGCAAATATGTTGGTGCTAATTCAAGATTTGTCTACTTTTCTATTCTTTGATTAATAAACAAACTTGATATAATAATTTATAGACTGGAATTTTTTTTCTTGAATATTTGGCAATAAAGCAGTATGTTTTCATTGATAATCTGTTTTACGGACGTAGCAGTTGCCTTTACAATTTAGTATTGAACCAAATTCCATTATATACTGGTGATAAATCTCAAATGATCTCAATGTATTGATATTTCTGGTAACAACTGGCTTGAACCAAATTCTGCAAATAATGGGTCGGTTTTTTTGTAGAGTATATCTATGTTAAAATGTTTGTTACTTTACCATCTTGTATGACTTACTACTCAGAAATTATTTAGGAGGCATTTTGTGATCTCTGCAATAATAAAAGTTTGCCTTTGTTATTCTATTCATACCGTATGTTATTAATGAAAAAAGTTATACTTTTAAGAAATGTTTACTTTCCTCTCATGTATTTTAATAGGTTCGAATTGAGCAAGTAATAGTTGCTGAACCTGGGGCAGTTTTATTATATAAAATTTCTAATCTTCTCAAATTTTATCACCATACAATCAGGTAAGTGGAATGGCAAAATGTGCTTGCCAAATCCAATGTGCTGTTTCTTTCAGTTAGAGCACAGTATAAGACTTTTTTTTTTATATTGTGTATGGTAATTATACACTAAGTATAGACTAAGCATAACTAGTAGAACCTCCACACCATGTAAATCATTATATGCATATTATACATGCTGTGCCTTAAGGTCTATTATTTCCTTTCTCCTTTTTTCTCCAAGCTTAACTACACACGCGCGCGCGCACACACACACACACACACACACACACAACTTATATAACAATATAAGTCTATAACGTAAGTCTTTATTGAGTCTTCCTGCATTAGTAAAAGACATCCAAGGCAACTAACGCAACTATACCATATACGCACAATAGAGCATAGTGAATTAAATGTTCTATTCTGGATGTAAATAACTTAAATTCTTTAGCATTTAGTTTACTATAAGTGATAAAATAGAACCATAGCTTTATCTTCGCTACATACCAGCAACTTTATCTGATTAGGAACCACTCGTCTTATATAAAATGTAATCTTTGACTCCAAAATATGCATTCATTTTTGCTTTACATTTGTCTGTTGGTGGTATACCCTTGAGTTTTATTATAACTGTCACTGTAAGACTGTTACATGTGTAGTTATGTTAAAACAATGTCTTTCCAAGCCATATTTTTGATAGTTTTTATATTTTTCCATTAAATAATTATTTAAAAATTACTTGGCTGGGTGCGGTGGCTCAAGCCTGTAATCCCAGCACTTTGAGAGGCCGAGACGGGCGGATCACGAGGTCAGGAGGTCGAGACCAGCCTGGCTAACATGGTGAAACCCCGTCTCTACTAAAAAAATACAAAAAACTAGCCGGGCGAGGTGGCAGGCACCTGTAGTCCCAGCTACTCGGGAGGCTGAGACAGGAGAATGGCGTAAACCTGGGAGGCGGAGCTTGCAGTGAGCTGAGATCCGGCCATTGCACTCCAGTTTGGTCAACAAAGCCAGACTCCGTCTCAAAAAAAAATTACTTGTTATACAGTATGCCAGTATCAGGAATAGTAGGCCAACTGTTAAAAATCTAAGAAGAATATAACTAACATTACCAGGAAAGGTTGAAGGAGCACTAGTTTACAGAGTACCAAAAAACTGTGGTAAGGTTATCACCTACCCCTTAGTGACAGACAGTAGCCACCCAGAACTTAACAAACAGCTAAGAAGGGGATTTTACATCTTACTAGTAGATTTTCAAACAAAACTAACAAGCTGTAGTCTACAAAACTGATCAGAGGTAGGATTCGGATTAGTCCCTTAATATTTTAGATATAAACTTATTGTTATCGTTCCCGTAACTCAAAAGCAATGAATTAGTTTCAGTTGTAATATTATAGCATCCTATAATAAGAGAATAATAAATACTTAGAAAACACAAGGACAGCTGAAAGCTGGACATAACAAGTGCTGTGTTATAAAAAGATGCTGGTAAAATAATTTTTAAAATTGTTTATTTAATAATGTCCATGATGGGACTAAATGAAATTTATTATTTAAAGATATTGATATGTTAGTTTCTAATGCAGAAAATGTTAGAAAAAAATAATTCAGATTCTGAAGATGATAATAAGTTTTTTAGGCTCTGATAATTGTAATTTTTCTGTCTTTGAAGATGATATTGAAGATGACAAAATCTTTTTTTGATTGACTTTTTGCATGTACTTTTTCTACTAGTTCACACATTTCCTCATTCAATTAAAAAGTTGACTGTATACTTGCCATTCTTCTAGGTAATAAGGAAACAGTAATTAACAAAACAGAACTTAAACTTACATTCTAGTAGGGGAGATAAGCAAGTATAAAATAATAATTTTTGGTAGTTATAAGGGTACTGAAGATAAAGCAGGAGAAAGGAAATAGAAAGTATAGGGAGTGACCATATATGACTAGATATATGTGTGTGTGACTGTTTTTGAGGCCATTCAGTAGAGGTGGTATTTGAATACAGATGTGAATAATATGAAGGAGTTGGGCATGAAAAGATCTTGGGGAAGAATGTCCAGGACAAAAATACACTCTGGTACTGAAGCTAGGAAAAGCTTGCATTTTGGAGGACTAGAAAGAAGACCAGGAATTGGAGTGTAGTGAATTGGAAGGAGTGGGGGGGATGAAATAAGAAAGGTAGAGAGAGGCCAGCTGGTATAGGATTTTGAAGGCCATAGTGGATATTTAGATTTCATACTGAGTGAATAAGATTGGGAAAAATGTGAGGGTTTTGAGTGACCTGAGCAGGTTCATGTTACAAGGTTACTCTGAATACTCTGCGAATCATGTAGCGTAGTGAGACAAAAGGGAAAATAAGGAAGATATTTAGAAAGCAGTTTGTGGTCCTGAGAAGAGATGATGATGAGTTTAGACTAGGGTGACAATAGTTGATTTTGGAGATAATTTATGTCACAGCCAATAGGACATGTATACATACTAGATAGTGTGAGGTGTGAGGAGTCAAGGATGAATTCTTGGCTTTTGGTTTGAACAGCTGGGTGAATGGTTTTGTTTGCTGAGATGGGGAATGCTGGAAAGGAACTGGTGGATGGGAGTGGTGGGTAAGGAAGAATTCCGTTCAGTTTTGGCCTTGTCAGATTTGATGTATCTGTGAACATAGAGTAGGAGATTTTGAGTGAGCAAATAATACAGAGAGAAATCAGGGCTGAAGCTATAAATGTCTTAGTTTTCAGAAAATAGATGACATTTGATGCCATGGGAGTAGGTAAGGTCACTTGAGAAATGAGTATAGATAAAGAATGGGGCTAAAGACTGAGTCCTGGGAAGCTCCAATATTTTGAGGTCAAGAAGAGGAGAAACCACAAAACTGGCAAGGAATAGCAGTGAAGTTGGGAAAAAAACAAGACGCATGCAAGATCTCAAAAAATTCACCTCTTACACATTAAAACTCCCAACAAAAGGAAGATATAGAATCCAAAAAACAGGGACTCAAGCATGCTTGGATTATATATCTTTTCCTCTAAAACTTTTCTCCCTGGAATTAATAAACACTTTGATTTTGTACTTTACTTTCCTATGCCCTTATCACTATTTCGGATCCAAGTTATTTAAGAGAACTCAACACTGCATTGTCTCACCATATAGTCCACCAGGTAATCGGCCTCTCTCCTGCCCCTGTCTGATACCCTTCTTGGAGCCCTCATTCCCCGCCAGTCTAGATGTGTTGCCCTTTAGGCCTACTGCAAGCTGCTTGGCTGTCACACTGGGGTTTGTCTTCTTCACTAGCCTGTTCATTGGCTTGTTTCGGGTATCCCTGATTCTTTGGTCAGCTCTGAATAGTATTTACATGAGTGTAATGATGTAAACATTGAATAGTCATTTACCAGAACTCTGTGCCCGTGGCTATATTAGGAAGCCTGGGGAAGGTGAAGTTTGGGTGTGTTGTGGTGGAGGAGGAGAACTGTATAAGAGAGTTTAACTCTCATCTTCTACATCAGGGAATTTGTAGATAATACCTAAAACTGAAAAATCAAGTAATAGTATAAGCATGTTGGATAGAAATATGGAATGAAATGTCAGAAGAAACGTCTACAATTATCTGGACCAGTTACTGGAACATAGTGAGTGCTCAATAAACATTAGTAAATTCTAGATCTGAGTAACTGCAAAGTACAGCTGATAACTACAAATTTTTTTAAAAAAAGTAAATGTATGTTGAGCTCTCTCTAAATGTTTCATTAAATTGCTTCTATTTGTTTTCATTTAATTTGCTTCCTCTGTTGCTTGATGTACACTTTTGTTCAGAGAAATACTTGTTTTTATTGCATGTGCAGGCATGTGTGGGAATTCCATCCAGTTTATTTTAGTATTTGGTTTACAATATTTTTAACTGAAATACTTGTTGTTTCTTTAAAATATAAGTATTATGGCTATTGGTTTAGCAATTTGCTAGTATTTTGCTGTTTGCTCTATATATGTATTTTACTAATAATTTGCTTTTTTTCATGAACTATGTAAGAATTTATCTAATTTATTTTGGTTTCAGAATTGTACTGAAATATTACATTTGCAGAGATTAATATTTGCTTTTATAATATATCATATGTGGTTTGATTTATCAGTAAATTTGCTGTGTTTTAGCTTACTGTTTGGTAGTATTTAATGCCATTATATTCGTCTTTAGCAATCTAAAATGTTTTAGGCATGGAAGATGTTGTGATACCTTTAGAAATTTCCCTACTGGATTACAGCATATTTTCATATCCTTAAGAAGCTTTTCCCCTAGAAAGTTGTTAAAATCATTTTTAGTGTGTGAATTAGGAGAAAAAAATTGGGAATTATTTTATATACATACTTGTCTTAGACCTTGGCAAAAATGGGAAACCTCCTTGAATAGGTCTAAGAAATATCCTTATACAATAGCAAATTGAGGATTATGGAATGTACAAATTAGTTATTTCAAAATATTATCATACTTTTCAGACTTATCAGACTTTTCAGTTAGTCTAAATATACTGCTCTGTAGGCAGCTGTATAAAAATTGAGAAACTCTAATTTATAGGTGTGTTATTGATATAGTATGACAGTCTTAATTAAAAGAATAACTCAGTATTTATGCAATTTAAATATTTTATCAATAGAGCTGTTGATTCAATGCTCTTCTTAAAATTTAACTGTCTTAGATAATTGAGACATATATTTACTCTAATAGAGGAAAAATAGAGATAGGGTTTTATATATTACAAATATTTGTTCTGACCCACAGTTTTGCTAAAAGAGATTGTGAAATATTGAAAACATAGTAGTTTGTTTTTATTTTTTCGTCACCTAACTCAAAAGAAAAACAAAAATCCTGATTTTTAAAATATGAAACTAGAGTATTTGTAATTCACAGGTTATATTTTACATAAAAACTTTTATTTAAATCTAGGTCTTTTTAAAGCATTCTACTCAAAGAACTGTTTTGTTTCAGTTTCTGTTTTGCAACCTGAAATATCCTTTGCTTTTAGTGGCATTGTTGGAAATAGTGCAACTACATTGTTGACTACCATTGAAGAAATGCATTTGCTAAGCAAAAAAATATTCTTCAATAGTTTGAGTCTTCATGCAAGTAAATTAATGGACAAGGTATGTTTGAAAAATGTAATTATTAAATTATGTGAATGTGAATCTTTCACATTAAAGATGTTTTAATGATTTTATTATTGATTTATAACTTTTCCCATTACATTCTGTGTTCCTTTGAGTTCTTCCTGTCACCAACAACTTTCATTTTGAGATGACTGATTGTACCTAAGTTTATAGTCTTCATTCCAGAAACAGTATAACATTGAGTTATAATTAGAGATAGCGTCTCAGGCTCCAATTTTACTACCATTTTTTCTGTCACAGAAGTTGTATAATTAAAGCAAATTTACTATATTTAGCCGGGGGCTAAGATGACATATAGATTGGAAAACCAGAACTCTTACAAAATGTTTTTTCCAAACAGCTTGTATTTCTACCCCTGATGTTACAGTTTTGCCCTTATGAAATTTATGCTCCTCTGAGTTATATAATTATTTATGAAAACAAACAAAAAAACACATCCCACAAAAAAACAAATAAACAACAAAAACCTGAACAAGGTCTGTAAGATCTAATATCTTAAATTGAGCAGGGTATTTTGGTAGGACCTTAAGGAATATATTTACAATGATCAAATTCTTCTTTATTTTTGTTTCATTATTGAGGACATGAGTTTTTCAAGGATGTGTCACAATCACCATGCTGGCTTTTTAATTGTACTACTCTATCTAATAGGCTAGCTATATTAGGCCCGGGTTTTGTAATATGGTATAAAATAGTCAGTAGCAATTTAGTTCAGAATACCTGGTCAATCTTTACTTTCCTAAGTTCAATCTTCACTTTCCTAAGTCTACTTCCTGACCCACATGCATGACTCAGATTCATTTGGAAAAGCAACATGAATTTGTGGAGCTGGAATGTCTACCTTAATTTTTCTTGCCTTGTGTATTTCTGTTTGCATCACCAGTTTACTAACAATCATTTCTGGTTATATTTGTTTTTATGGTTCTTATTTAGACAGAACTCTTCTAAAATAATTTATACATGATACCCAAACATTAAACATGAACAAATATGTGCTAGATGTTGAGAGTACAAGGATGAACACTCAAGGTCTGTTGACCTCCTTAAGGTTGCTTCTCCTTTAGTGGAAAATGACCAAATAAGTCTGGTTATTATAGAATCCTATGATTTATGAAAGACATGTGCCTAGGGTATATGCTAGCACCAAGGGAGGAGTATATTTAGCCACCTATATGTGCTCTTCTAGAGAGAGGAAGCTTTCCACAGAGAGACGTAAGAGAGTTGAACTTTGAAGGACAGGTAGGCTTTAGATAGGTGAAGAAAGGAGTGGATGGGGTCATCTTAAATAGAAGTAACAAATAGAATATGCTAGAACATGAGTATGAGTTACCTATAAACACATTTTTCATTTATTAAGAAATACCACTAGTAAAGTGATGTGTTTTATATATGTAAGTGGGGAGGCTGGGTTGGAGATAGGAAAATTAAAGGAGTATTGCAGTTGTTTTTATTCACACATGATCTAAGGGAAAGGCTCTGGGAATAGGCAAGAGGGGACAGATTCTTGAAGGGTAAAGATAAAATCTTCAAAACTTGATGACTGACTGAATGTGGGTAAGTGAGAGGGAGTCATCTAGAATAATTCCTAGGCTAACCACAAATATCTAGAATGCAGAAAGAGGGAACAATTTGGGAGATAAAGATGGTTTCGTCTAAGTCAGATAAGTTGAGTTTGAGGTGCCTATGAGACATCCCTCTGGAATTGGTCTTATCTAAAGGGGAGCGATACATTTGGATTCAGAGAGTTTGACATATAAGAGATAGTTGAATTCATGGGTTTGGGTGAAGTCACTAGGAAGAATTTTTTTTGTAAGAGTGGAGCTACCAGGACACAGTCTTGGGAAATGCTGACATTTAAGAGAAGGAAAAAAGTCAACAGTATGATGCTAAGAGAGGATGGCCAGAGAGGCAGGACAAAAATTAGGATAAGGTTTTGTCAGAAAAGCTAAGAGAAGAGAGTTTCTAGAAGGAGGGCATGGTTAATAATGACAGATGCTTTTAAAGAATTCTAGTAGGAGACTTGTTATCTTTGGCAATATATACGTGATAGGTGACCTGACTGGACAATTTTAGTCCTGTGGTGGAGATAGGAGCCAGATTGCAGTATGCAGAAAAGCTCATGGGTAAGCATATTTCCAGCTTTACCAATTGGAAAACATACGGGCCTTAAGACTGAAAATAGATGCATTAGGCATTTGTATTAAGAAATTTGAAACAGAACAATAAAATGAAGATAAATAGAAAGGATGGAATTAAATTTCTGTGACAAATTAGAAAACAAAAGCAGAATTATTTGTTGAAAAGATAAACAAAATTGACAAACTTCTAACAAGTTTAATCAAGAAAAAAAGAAAATTAGAAGTTTTTAGAAATTAGAGACAATCCACAGATGAGAATTAAAACTTAGAGAGTACACATATGCAGTTTTATGCTAATCATCTGAAAATCTGAATAGGGTGAATGCTTTTCAAGGTGACATAAATTGGTAAAATGTGAGTCAAAAGGAAGTGGAAAGTGTGAATATACCTAAGGAAGGAAGAAAAGTTATTAAAGAACGTGTTGCCAGGCCTCGTTCAGATTATATAGAGGACTTCATTCATACTTAGGAGGAACAGATAATTCTCCAGAACACGAAAAAATATGAAAAGCTTCTCAGTTTGTTTTAGGTAGTATAACACTGACATAAAACCTTTTAAAGATAGTCAGTAGTGAAAACTATGTATTAGTCACCTTTTAAGTTTTAAAACTTCAAAATTCAGCATTTATATATTAAAACCAAGAATGATTTATTACATGAATATAAGAATGTTTCAGTGTTAGGAAATATACTAAATGAGTATACAAAATAAATTTTATATTCTCATATTTGATCACATTGTTTAGGGAAAATCTTAGTAAGTCATTGAAGAATACTTCCTTAACC